TAAATTATTTTAAAAAAAATTAAAATCTCCAAATAAAATCACAATTTAAAATTAAATTTTAAAAAATTATTGGACAATTATAGATTTGAATTTTCATTTTTTATTTTCTTGAGTTAGATCTTATTATTTTATTTTGTCATATGTTATACCAATTTTTTATATGTTCCTAAATTGTTTACATATTTTTTTAGATATATTTTATTCTATGCTTTTCCTTTTCACAAATGCAACTAAATAATTATTCATTAATCACAAAAAATTCTAAAGGACAATATATTTTACATTAAGCATGGCCAAGTTAGTTGTTTAAGACACAAGTTTACAACTATGCATCACTCTAGTTCTCTTTAGTTGTCCTACTTTATCAATTTTATATTAATTAACTTAATGATTTTATATAACAAATAAATAACAATTAATTAGAAGTGTTTTCAATTTAAGATTTTGTTAGATAACACTTTTTGGTACTTTAACTTTTGGTTTTTATACCTTTTATATATAAAATATTAATCAAAATAAATATTAAATATATTAAATATATTGTTATATATTTTTAGAATGTTAAAAGACCAAAAAAAAGGGGGTAGCTATAGCTACAAGTCAACACTCCCAAACTAAGACTAAGTAAAAATATTCAACAAGTACTATGTTTAGAAAAAAAAATTAATTGTTATCTGTCCGTTGCATAAAATTATTAAATTAAACTTTATATAAAAGTCAAACTACCATAACTAAAACAAACAGGAGGTAATAATACATTAGGATACTAGTTTTTTTTTTTTTTTTTAATAAAGAGCACTAGTTTAATTTAGGATGGCCCCCTCCTTTGAAATCCTAGTTCCAGCACTGAGTATAACCTTTGATTCAATTCATTTATTAATATTCATCAATTCAACCATTAAAATTCGTGGTTTTAATTTTTTTTGTCTTTAATTCAAATCCTAAAATGATAATTTTTTAATAATTATGTTGTGAAGTATATTAAATTAAAGAATTTTTGTATTAGTGTCCATATAATTATGTTCCTAACTTTAACTTAATTTATTCAATTTTACTGTAGAAAAGATATTTTAAAGCTACCAATAAATTTTTGTTTTTTGATCTTAGTTGTACAATAAAAAGCAACCATCTCTCATGACTTACTCCACCCATCTCTCATGACTTACTCCACCCTACTCGCATGCCATGTGACTCAAACTTAGAATCTCTTACTTCTAGCATAAAGAGATTATCACTAAGTTGTTTAGGTTGTTAGTGGAAAATACCAATAAATTAGCTGCTTTAATTTCCTGCTGTCTAGTATGCAGATGTTGAACTAAACAATGAGAATATGGAAGGAACTATATTGTTAAAAGTTTCAGTGCATCATAAGTATCTTTTGACTTGAGTATCTGGGGATATATACTTAACATCGATCATTGCAGTTTATATATCATTCCAAAAAAAACTAAAAGGACTTGCCCAACCTATCCATTAAACAATATTGCCAAGGGGCATGCATACACAAACGGCATGTTTTGATGTTGCTTGGTATACGCATGTGCATAAACAGTGAGAAGGGAGCACCACCACCACCACCACCACCCCTACCACAATTAATTGCAAGCTTTTTTTCATTTTTGTTGTAGGCATTGGATGTTAGGGCAATGGTTCTTCTGAGCCTACTCTTACAAATTACTCTTCGTGTCTTGGGCAAGCGCAGAAAGTGTTGGCGGAAACTTTCAGCCCATGTGAACACGTGGACTTTTCCATGTGGTAAAATTCTCACCCCATGGTAAAAAGTAGCACCTATAGCAGCACTTGTTGAAGTCTCACATGGTTATTTCAACTATTGCAAACTTACTCATTTAATGAGGGAAGAAAATCATGCATGGATGGTTGGGTTCTTTCCATATAAATACCTGTTGAAGACCACTCAAGATTTCAAAATTATAAAAAAAAAAAATTATTATTATTATTATGTGGTGTGAAAAAAATATAAAAGAAAAGGGGAGTTGCCACTCGTTCAAATTATAAGGTGGGACAAGTCACCTAAAAACAGGTTTGCACAGAGATTGGGGTTCGGTAGTTCGGTTAGGAGTAAGGAAGGGCAACCGCGCACCTCACAATCCTCCGTTTAAACACGGTTGCATACCTCAAGATTGGGGAATTTTAATTCAACTTATTCATTATGTTTATGTTTGAGTCTTAATAGGTAAAATTAAAAAAGGATAAACCAAATCGAAACATTTTTTGTTTTTTAATTTTGGACTGAAATGGATGAAATCGAAAACATACATGCACAATAAACACAAATAAAAATTAAAGGGACTAATTTGATTAAATTTGAAATAGGAAGGACTGATTTGATTAAATTCAAAATGTGAAAGACTGATATGAAAAAAGTTGAGACCCGTGCACTAAATTGCCTAATTATAAAAGTTTTGGATGAGATTGAAATGAAGAAAGAAACTAATATTAAAAGAAATTAAAGATT